AATTTTATATTCAGAGAACTGGAACGCCGATTTTTCCTTAAAGGAAATCCAATCATTTTTGTCTAGGTCACTTTTTAAGATATTTCAAGTCTGAAATAAGCATTTTGCAGCCGAGTCTTTCTTCTTTTCATTACATGTAACAGGGACAAAAATCTTGAAAGCATCATACCTAAAATGCGCATTGAAAAGACTGCCCTTTTTTGGGCCACCCTGTAGATATGAATAAAATGACAAAACTCCTCATACATTCAAGATAGTCAACAAAGAATTATTGCGTTAAAACAATGAATTAATGAGCTTACGTGTCTATTACTATATATCTTAGGAGTTTTATATGCAAAGCGTGACGACCACAAGCAGGAATTAAATTCACTATAGGAACGTACTGAATTTTTACTTGGCGATCCTCATGCTGGAAGTCATATGACGTCACGATTAATATATTCTGAAATAAATGTATTTTTAAGGTGTCGAAGGCGCAGGAATTGCCAAACCTATTAATCAAGGTGTTTGACCGCATCATTAGGGGTGAGCTCCGAAAACGGATGCTTTAAATTCTATAGTGATATTTTTTTATTATAGAGCGCCGAAGGCGCGTCCTAGTGACATGGGCTTTTTTTTTTTACTATGGTAGTTTTGACTATGTAGATAACGTTCATCCAGCCAACATCTGACACGACCGAAAATTCCGCATGTTTTTGGAAACTTCCTCGTTGAATTTTCGGCGCTTAGATGGGATATGCATTTCGATATTTGATCGAAGCATGAAAATGCTCATCATCATCATCATCATCAGGCTTTACGTTCTCACCAGTCGTCCCTTAAGACTGTCTAGAAAACACTTTTATCTCTGCTGAAAAGTTTTCGATGATCATCCATTGCCTACCGCTGTAAAATGCAGACGGATAATTTATTTCTTGTGGAAGAATACTTCTCGCCTCAGCGAAGAAATGAATACTTTAAAAGAGGAGGACGATGTTCCTTTTCTCACTGCTACTCTATTAGATGTTGACGGCAAGGAATTTTGCCGGAATCCCTTGAAGCTTGAAGATTGAGCTGCTGGTTGAGGGCCTAGTCCTACATCCAATGTCGTCTATATAATATACCTTTTTAATCGTGATTCTCAGGCCTTCCTGCAAAGACGCCAACCCGCTCCCACCAAAAGAAACGCTAAGGGTGGATTTTTGAACGGGTTAGTACTTGGAATGCCGCTTCCACGACCGCCGACACCCATTATCCTTCCATAAACGCCGAACTGTGAAACCTGTCTCAGACGTCTTCTCCGGGAATGCCGATTACTCTCTTTCTTCCGCCGATGCCGAACTTCTTTGTCCGTATTCGAACCCTTGATTTCATGACCAATGCGTTTCATTTCGACTACTCTANTAACGAAAAACCCTACAAAATCATTATTTAGTTTTCAAAATGGCCACCCTTGGCGGCCAAAACTTGCCTCAATCGTTTTGGGAAGTCATCCACGGTGGTTCGAAGCTGCTCGAGAGGCATTTCATCCCATGCGCGCCTGAGATCGCGTTTGAGAACCACCAAACTTCGGTGGGCTTTTGCGCAGACCTTGGCCTCCAAATACGACCAGATGCTGCAATCCATTGGATTCAGATCAGGTGAACTGGAAGGCCATTCTTTTGGTGTAATCAGGCCAGGAAAATTTGTTGGCACCACTCGATTTTGCTTTTTGCCTTGTGTGCTGGGGCTGAGTCTTGCTGGAAGACCCAGCTTTTACCACGGAAGTGCTCTTGAGACCAGGGTAGTAAGACCTTCTCTAAGATCTCTTCTTGATAACAGGAGGCATTGATCTTGACCTGCGGCGCAACAAAATGCAGAGGTGCTTTGCCTCTTGCGGTAACTCCCGCCCAAACCATCACAGAAGCTGGTTTCTGTGCCCGATTGACACGGCGATGATGTAGCTGCATGCAGCGCAAATTTTCACCCCAGACACGATTGTTTTGAGGGTTGTGAGCTTGCTGAACAGTGAAGATCTTTTTATCTGAAAAGAGGATGTCGCGATGTGAACCGTTCTTGAAGCGCTGCAGGAGGAGTCGTGCCTTTCTCTCACGAGCCTTCTTCTTTTGATCTGATAAAAGCTGGACCTTCTGTTTTATGTAAGCTTTGAGTTGTAGCTTGTCTCTGAGAAACCTTCGAAGTGTTTCTTTGTCCACTCCGACAGTTGCAGCAAGCTTTCGTCCAGAGTGTTCGGGATTCCGTTTGAGCAGCTGCTTCACTTGTCTGACGAGCCGCACGTTCTTAAATGCTGATGGGCGGCCACTTCTAGGGCATTCTGCACTTGTTCCAAGCTCCTTGTAGCGCTTGATGGTGTTGTAAACTGTGGAAGGAGGCAATTTCAGCAACTTCTCTGAAATGCTCTATGCTGAATGTCCTTTTTTGTTATGGAAAATGATCGCATCTCGGGCCTCCTGCATTCTGATATGAAGAGCAATCCAGGTCAAACTTGCAGGGAGAAGAGAGTGGAGCCTAATGCTTGAATATAAAAAAAATTGTAGGCTTGAATCAATTGCTACATGTCATTTCAATCTTGTCCAAGGACTTTTGAGTCACCCTGTAGTTTTACGCCAGCAGCTGTAAGCGGCTGGAGAGAAAGACCCCTCTGATAGCATTTTCTCCTGCGCTTAGCAGGAAGTTTAATTACTGAGCTGCCGGCTCGATATGCAGAACGAGTCGGTCCGATAAAGATGATCTGTGCATGCCTCATAATCATACCTTATTCAATGCCCGGACGGAAACCACTGACATTTTGTATATAGGGACAGGGGCGTGCCCAAGCGGGGGGGGGAGGGGGGAAGGGGAGGTTATGGGTCTCATAACCCCCATATTTACCAATTTTTCATGTCAACCCCCCCCCCATTGGGCTTTTCTGGGCACGCTACTATACAGGGAAAATGGGGGTTTTGGGGAGGGGGGGGGGGTAAGTGACCTGACGCATCCAGTATTTATGGAACAAAAGTCGATTAACCTTAAATAGGAAGATATGAATGCTTCACAGGTAGAAGCTAGTACTAATAGATCATAATATGCGAGACCCATCCCTCCATCTAGTGGCCAAGAGGAAAACTTCAAAATTCCAAAAAAACTTATAAGTGCAACTTGGGCACATTGGATCATCGCATCGGTCCGCCATTGGGTCGATGATGGAATGGCAACATTGGGAAACCAATATTTAGCCGATATTGGCAATATTGGCGAAGGTGAAGCCAACGTGACCACTGTTGGTCCAGCATTGAGCCAATATCTGGTGCTACTGAGGTAGGGTTCAGTCTCTCATGGTCCTTTTGAGCGAGGACGTCTAACGTTAGATCGTTTAGAGCTGTTTCGAGTTTCATGAACCGTTTCGGTTCGGACGAGGAACGTTAGGCCTATCTAGAGGTAATATGCGCTACCAAAGCCTATTAGGGAAAGGTGGTGTAAAATGGGATACTCAGGTAAAAATGGTACACCGAGGTTTCAGTGACTCTGCATTGCTGCCATCTATCGGCAGTGAGTGCATGAGTAGCAGGCATTCGGGCTTCATTGGAAGCGAAACGCAAGTGGATCAAGGGAGAAACTTTTTTTTGTACAGTCCTCTGTATAAATAATGGTTAACAAATGAAGTTGCTGCATCTGCTGCTGCTTAGTTGCATAGTGTTTTTTTTTGGCACAGTCACTTAGTTTCGTTTTCGTTCCTGTTTCAACAAGGCATGATGCTGGGTAAAACGGGATAGCGCTCATGTGGGTGAAATGGGATATATCCTGTGTTACCCTTACACGTTTATTATTAACGTTTTCTTAACTATTCCAGATTTATAACCAAGAATGCCTTCAAATGAAAAGCTCAAAACAAACCGGCAGTCGTGGAGTGAAGATGCCATTAAGAAAGCAAGAAAGCTATTGATGCGATTTTCAAATGAGAACGTGTATTCAAAACAGCTGTCAAAATCTAAAGAATGCCCAGATCAACAATGGAAAGGCGAGTGAAAGGAAAGAACATGCAGTTGAAAGAGACTGGGAAATAGACTGCCAACATACCACGTTGAATTAGAGCTGCAATTTGTTAACTATATTAAAAACATGGAGAGTATGCTTTTTGGATAAATGACTTCTGATGTTCGTTGTCTTACCTTCTAACCTGCTGGAAAAAACGGCATATTTTTTTTAAATGCTGGTTGTATCCCATTTTACCAACATAGATTATAATAGGAAACTGCCCGAGTTTTGGAGGAAAAATATTTGAGCCCCTTAATTAAAAAAAAAATATTTTCTACAGTGCTTTCATATTATACGAGCCAGAGGCATATTCAACATACATGACAATGTTCGAAGGGTTAGATGCAATTTCCAGGCCTACAGGTTCTCCCAAACCTTAGGTATCCCGTATTACCCCACTTTCCCCTACCTTTCTTCAACTCCTCTTGGGACAAATTTTGAAAGGACCCATATATGCTTCTTCCCATGTACGGTATTTTCTCATATACGCTATATTGCTGGGATTTATAAAAGGAGTCATCAATCAACGTTTCTGAAATATTGGCGAGTCAAATTTGACATTGAAGGCCTGTTACAACTAGTTTTCACTTTTGAGGACCATATTCCCCAAAATTACCCTATAAATTAAATTGTTCGCCTACGTGTTTCGGTGGCCATCTCTAAAGCTGCGCCTCGCGAGTCCGATATATGATTGGTCCATGTCATTGATTTGACAATGGGAATTCTTTAAATTCTGCAGCACTAAATCAACAGCAATAAACGGGGTCAGGAAGTCGGTTCGAAGGAGCCTTTGCTGCCTTCTTAATTCACCTCAATGGGTCCTCGCTAATTAAAGCGGTAAAGCATTGGCATTTGCTGTGGATCGTCGGATCCTTGTTCCAGTTCAGCATAACCTTGATTCAGTACCCAGAGCTCGCCACGCGCAAAGAAAAGGAACCGTATATACACTGTCGTGTAATTACACGTGGAGATATGCGGATGGGAAGATTATAAACAGTAAGCAGAATGAATAGCTAATCGATGTCAGTGTGCGACATTCTGTTCTGTTCCCCTCTGGGCCAACATTTTCTTTCTCCCAGACATTGTATCACGACTCTGGTATTAGCTGCTTCGTCCGAGTCCCGGTGGACCACATTGAAATCAGCATGAAATCTCTTCTGGCCTTCCTGCTCTGCTTCTCACCTTTTCTGGTTAGTCGTCTTATCAGCCGTCTCTTTTTGTGCTTTTCTTTTCGATTTTAAAGAATATGCTAAAAAACTTTTTTTTTCCTCCTTTGAAGTACATGGAGGTGGATGGGGCACCTAATGGTACGGAATCTCGCGAGGAAGAAACTACAAAACCCCAGCAACAAATTCCACAAGTAGAACCTCCTGGCAATGTCACTGCTGAAAGCCTCAAGGAAGTACAGTTTCTTCGATGAGTCACCACCGACCACATTATTGCAGCTGCTAAATGGTTGGTCTCTCGATCTGCAGAAGCTGAAAACGGCGAAAGAAACGATGCAGAACATGATGGCCATCGCAGAGGACTGGGTGAATCGACTCGAAGAGAAGGAAGAAAGAAACGAGACGCACGAGAACGATACCGGAATCGCTTTTCGTTCCGACCTCCACCGGGAGATCCTCACGAACCGGGAACTCATGAAGGAGCTCCTCAACGTTTCTCAGTGAGTCGAGAAATCCTTTACAGGATTGATTAGCACCTGTTTTCCCGCATTTACTAAGTTGGCCTTCTTCAGTTTTCACTGCATGGAACCTCTAACAAAGAAATGAAAATGAGCTTCGAATGATCCTTGCAAATATCGTAGGGATAAGTTAGCATTGAATCGTCTCATCTGCAACTGCAGTCATTCTAGTCCATACAAACGAGGCAGTCTATAGGCAAACTGTAAGTTTGCCTATAGGTCAAGTCCAAACGAGCCCTCGGTCAAGTCCAATGGCTCGTTTCTCGACTTTTCGAGGTTATCAACTCATGTGTGGGTCACAGATTTCTCGAGTGTACTCGTACGTCCATCGCACCGTTGACTTTACAAGGATCAAGTACTGAATAGTCTTAGCTTCGAAGGAGAGCAAGCTTTCTTTCCGTCGTTTATCCCGAGTCTCACTTGAGGCTGACGCAATTCTAACTAGATCCCCATCGTTCCGCTGTCATCGAGTTGGAAAAACTTTGTACGCCTCACGTAGTCCAACAGATGACGCTAAATGCTTGAAAAATATCCCTCCTCTTTAACCTACTCTCCGGCGAATGCGGTCCCGCTGCCTCGAAACGCCTGCAAATGCTCATACTTTATTTATCGTTTTAGTTGGTCACATTCGGACCCTCTACAGCGCCGTTAAAGCCCTTCTTTGCTGGCTGAACGAGTTAGGCAAGTAGTTTTCTGTTCAGTTTATTTTTGCTCCAACAGTTGTTGCGAACTACGATATTTTTAATATTCAACACCAGAAAAGATTTCTGCTGTATTTCCGACATTTCATTCCTTTAGTCACGCGTCGTAGACTTTCAATCATTCGTGATGCCATGCATGAAAAAACTATGAACCTTAAGTTATCCTCATATGAGAACAAAAATGCGTGACTTGGCATGCGAGTCATGAAGAGAGATGGATTCATGCATGTATCCAGAAATTTAAGGTATTGCAGGGCAAATACTAGTATAGTAAGTTAGACTTGCTGACTGGCGGGTTTTGGAGATCGCCGGCGGTCCACTGAAAAAAAACCCATCTGTTTCTAATATCTGAAATAATAATAATAATTTTCTGCCCATTACCGCAAATGATGGTCACATTAAAGCTGTTTCTTGTGATGGTAACCAAAGACAGGGTGTAGTTTGTGGAGAGAAGTTCTAACGTGAAAACATAGGTAGGCCCAAACGTGACGTCTTGGGGAACACGTGAGACCCTCGCACAACATTCATGCTGTGCTTCATTATTTTCCTGCCCAAATACGAAGCATCCAGACGAAATCGACATCGTATTCTGTTCTTCCCTTTTCTGCAGTGTACTTCAGTGAAATTATTATTGCTTACTGGACGACGCAAATGTCATGATCGTGGTGGTCGGCCTGCGGTCCCGAATATAGGGAGTCCTCGTCGTCCGGCCATAGGACATAAGCATGGCGCTCGCGAAAGGTTGCCTTCTTCCCCATACTTCACACACACAGGGTCCATCAAGTAGTTATACTTGATGGACCCTGTGTGTGTGGAGTGTGGCCCTCACTTTTCATCGCCGTAAAAAAAAAAGACGAAAGACAAAAGACAAAAGAAAAGAAGAGAGAAAAGACAAAAGACGCCCTTAACTTATTTATTAACTTGTTATTGGGAGTCTCTGCAACGTACTTTTTCGCTTCGTTCGGTTGAGATGTTTTTTTTTTGCACTTCATACCTGAACTCCTGGTAAATCCGAACATGGGAAGAACTTTTATCCGTCATTGCCAAAGTGAAGGGCATGAAAACTAATAACTTCGCCCTTGAAGGGCGAGAGGGCATGGAAGAAGTAAGGGTTGCGGAATTCCCAGAATAGCGTTGCGGCTTTAACAGAAGGGTTGCGGAATTAGCCGAATGCTCATGAGGAAGGACGATCACGACAAAATCTAACCCTGTAAATTCTAATGAGAGAAATCCTTCCGTGCTTCCAGTCATCCGTTTCGTCTTTCCTCACGTTTCATTGAAGGTATAACACAACATGGTCTTGTGCATACAGACGCCGTCAGCTCGAGTGAAAGAAGGGAACAAATAGTTGGGATCCAAAGTCGTTGCGGAATTCACAATTTGCCCTACCGTGGAAAAAGAGTGGAAAAGACAGTTTCCAATGGCAACTGCGGGCAGATATAATGATGTATTTATATACCCCTTTTATTCACGTTGCTGTGATCATAATGTACTAAACTCGTTATTTAATCAATGAATCATAATTTAATTTCACTATGTTCTCAATTTTCTGAAAATGATCTTCCAGACAACCTGAGATTTCTGCTCTTTCGGAATCGATGGGTCTTTTTGCCAAGGAATCAGAATTGATTACTTTTATTCCATGAGCTGACAAACTTTTCACTCCAAAGCAAGACATATCCTGTATTTTTTAATGTTCCGAATCATGTATAGTCAGGACTTTTATGAAGACATGTAAATTATTTCGCAATATCAAATTAGTGCGTCAAACGTAAAGTATAAATCACCAGAGTGAAAGCACACTGAAAACGGGAAAATCATCGTCTTCTCAAGGATGTTTATGGATATGTCTTGTTATCGAACTAAGTTCTTCACATATGGGAGGAGGGTCCATTACTGATGCTGGCAATAATCTTACCTTGAAAGTTGGAGAGAACACGGTAAGACGTCAGTACAAGACTCCCAGTCATCGACGGAATCCCCCCTCCAAAGCAAGTACCACCATCGATCGTCCAAGCGCTGTGACTCCCTTGTTCCCTGGCTGAGGAAGATGGCAAGGGGAGTCGATATCGCCCGGATGGACTTGCTCCCTCTCGACTTCACCGGACCGGATGGCTTCAAGCGCCCTCTCTTTGACTTCACCTGCGAACGAGGTTCCACGATCATCGTGAACAACGTATGCAGACGGAGTCAGACAACTTCGACAGCTACAGAAGTTACCTTCGTGACTAAAAATCCGTACTGTCGGTATAATTCAGACTTAAAAAAAAAACTTGCGAAATTTTCCAAACGTTAGATAATCTGAGATCTTACCTGGAATACTTATATAACGCAAAAAGACCTGCAGATGTGTTAGCAAAGTGACTACTTTTGCAAAAACGTGACTACTTTTGCAAAAACGTGACTACTTTTGCTCCTACTGCTTCCCCGAATATAATGTCATGATTTCTTTCTTGTTGTGTCCCTCAGACAGAGTTCCAATTGCCAGATCAAGTATGGGAGGTGACGCGCATTCCGGGAGGTTGGTTGTCACCCAGCGTGCAGCTCTTTAAATCCTATCAGGATGTAAGGCGTTCCATGGCCCTTCAAGTCGAGTATGAGCCGGAATCATCGGATTTATTCAAGTTGGCGTTCTCTGCCAGTCGCTCCTACGAGCGCATGCAGCACATAATCGCCAACAAGTCGCATTACATCAAGGAGGTGTCTTCCTTCGAAACGGCCTTTCAGGTTGACCTCATACCAAGTTGGGTCCTCCATCTCAGCAGGTTGACGGCAGTGTTTGTCGACAGTCGCTTACCGAAAAGCTTCACCGAAGATCCTGGTGCCTACGAGGAATTTATTGCAAATTTCGGCACGCACTATTTCAAGTCCGCAAAATTTGGAGGATTAATCAAGCTCCTGCTCGAAACTCACTCGGACTACTTCGAGAATAAATCCGATGAGGAGATGAAAGCCCAGGCCCTAGCCTTCTTCCTGAAAATTCTTCCTTGGAAAATCAGCCAATCTGACTCTGACGCGCAGGGGAAAGCGAACCGTTTTACCGGATACGGATACGATCCGCATAACCAACAGGTGACGAAGAGGTTTCAAGAGATGACAATGAGATTTGAACAGATGACAAAAACCATCAGGTCAGTACACCCGATGACTTCAGATTGCATTTACGTACGCATTCAGGAGCTCAGATTTCTTTCAGTCAGTTCCCCGGTGCAAAGATTGAACACACGAAGAATAAGGTCGGATCGGTGGTGTGCTCCGAATTAGCCGAAGAAATGTCGGTGGTCCTTCACGTTGGGACCAACGATACTCCCAAGTTTGGCTCTGAACTCATGGGCAGGTTGAGGCAGGCTATTAGGACGTGTCGGGAGGTAAGGCCGGGGCTACGGGTGGCGGTATGCACGATTCCGAGCCGGCTAGACAAGGGAGGAATCACTTGGTCTAGGTCGGAAGGGATTAACGACAGGTTGAGGGAGTTATGTATCGCGGCGAGGGCAGTGTTTCTGGACATTAGGGAGGCTTTGAGTCATTGAAAAAGTCCGATGGCTAGGTATGGGGTACATTTCTCGAAAGCGGGAGCTGGAGCAGTCGGATTGGCTATCATGAAAGAAATAGAGCCTTTTTTGGGGTTGTACCTCGTAGATCAGGGCCGTCCAGAAGGGGTTGGGGCATCGGGGACAATCTGCCCCGGGCCTCGCTTACCAAGGGGCTCCAAGAGGGGGCTCCAATGGGCCTCAAGGGGGCCCCTGGAAACCTCTGGGCGGCTTTGTTGTAGATCGGGGAGCAAGGAATCACGAGTAGGGAACAGCCACTACGAGCAGCTTTAGACCTCCACGGATTGGTATGCAGGATAGGCAGGGAAGAGTGAAGTGTTTCTACGCTAATGCACGCAGCTTACGTAATGAAATGGACGAGCTCAAGGGAGGGAACGACCTCACCTCGGCTACTTGGCGGACACTTATGGTGCGAGATCGGTGGGGCAACAGGGATGATCGTGCTAGGAATTTGCTATAGGCCCCCTAACTCCTCTCGAAAGGATGAAACAGCTTATTTTGCATTAATGCGTAGTATCAGCAAGAACTCGTAGCTGGTATTACTTTTCGGAGACTTTAACATGCCTAACAATGATTGGACGGTGCCGCGAGGGGGAGCGAAAGGGATAGGGAATTTCTCGTTGCGGTTCAGGACGCTCTTTTCGTTCAGCACGTGGAAAAACGAATCGCGAGGAAGCTTTATTGGATTTCGTTTTCGCGACGAACGACGATCTGGCACTAGACGTTAAGATTCAGGATAACTTGAGTGATTCGGACTACTGCGTGATCACGAGGAATATCAAACCGACGAAGGTTTCGTACAACAGGTATGCTAATTTCGAAAGGCTACGGGAATGCGTTTCAGTCATCGACTAGGAGGTGCGGTTCTGTGGGCTGACGGTAGAGGAGCAATGGGAGTATTCCAGACGTTATTGTAGGGCTTTATGGAGGAATGCATCCCCAAGAAGTCCATGAAATCGGTCAGGCAACCGGTCTGGTTTACGAGTAAAATCAAAGCACTCATCAGGGATGAAAGGCAGAAATGGGATACGTATAAGCGCAAGAGAGATAGAAAGGACTATGATGAATATAGGAGGTACACGAGGACGCTGAAGTGGGAAATCAGATCTGCGAGACAGGGGGTCGAGGAACGACTGGCAAGCGATGCTAAGACTAAAAGTCTTAGTCCCAAGGCTTTTAATCGGTATGCATTTATGCATAGGGGTCAGCAGTCGATCGGGCCGCTAATGAACAACAGGGGGAGACAATCGCAAATAATAAAGATGTGGCCGGGATACTTAACGAGTTCTTCGCTGCTGTTTTCACTGTGGAATCCGATGGAAGGATGTGGGATCCGACTTTGGAGAAGGTGACCTCGCGCGCGTCAAGGAGGAGAAGAAGATTGATGAAGGTGATAAAGTTAAAGATAATAATGATAAAGTTAAAGGTGAGTAAGGCGACAGGTACCGATTGGATTCCTGCTCGGATCATCAAGGAACTCGCGAGCGAAATATCAGTTCAGTTGAGAATCATATTTGAAAACAGCTTTTGTTCCCGAGCCCCGTATGATAGCTGGAGTAAATGCGTTCCCGCTGCGAGGGAGTACACGTACTTTCAGAGTGATCATTCGCAAATGCACACGACCGCCGTATAGCTCTTCACTCGCTGTAAAAGGAAAAGTCCTCTCCCAGAACTTTCAAGCTGAACCCCTTACCTTCCAACATGGTGCATGGCACACCCAATTTTGGTTGTGGATTGTTTTCTACGTTACCTCGAGGCAAGATTTGTTCATGGTAAATCTAATCATCAAGGAACCTTAGTGAATTATCCTCAATCTTCCCGAATGAAATATGAGAACATATCAGTGTGACAGTAGGAAGGTGAACATTCTCTCTATGGTACAATTACTTTCAAAGAAAGTAAACACTGTGGAAGAATGTGAGACCGAATTTTAAAGCGGATGACTTTGACATTATTTACTTGCTGGTTCAAGCACGAACTATTTGCTCGATATAAGACGAAATCTCATGGGATTTTTTCAAATATCGTGATGAAACTGCATTACATTTTGCAACTGCATCCACTTCCAGGTACTACGGTGGGGATATGAACGAAATTTCCTCTAAGGCGTTCCGGGATTGGCAGTCCACAATTTCGGAAAGTCCCTGGCTAATATCTGGGGAGCTGACGCCCATTAGCAGTCTTATTCAGGATAAAAACAAGAGTGCGTCCATGGAAAAGGCCGTCAAGAACCATCTTCTGCGTGCTTACGTAGGGGAGCTTGCCAGAATCGTCGAGGCGGTGCCTTCGCGATGGACTTTCGGTTTGAGCCAGCTCAAGTCACTCATGGGCAGGATCGCCACTTTTCAGAGCACTCGCATCCTGGACGAGGAGAAAGTGGAGCAGCTCGGTGCAGACGTGAAGGCCCAGGTGGAATTTCCGTCCTGGTTCACGCAGTGGACGCAGCTTTGCTTCCGCTGGGAATCGGGGGGCGAGAATACGTGCGGGACCGGAGCGGAGGCACAGCAGCTTTGTGCCAATCCTGGCAATATGACCGACGTCTACATGGACGTCACCCAAAACGGAGAGGATTGTAAAATGAGCTGGGGAATCCAATCCGTGTTCGAACCGGACTGGTTCAACGAAGTCCAGCTCTGCTTCCGCTGGTCCAAGTGCCGTGATAGCACATCCTGGAAAGCGTGTGGGAGCGACATCGATCCCCCGCTATGCGCGACGGTGAACACGTGGACCACGTTTTACCACGACACCACTAACTCCCGCATGTCGTGGATGCTGATAGTGCCCAGCACGGCCCCCGTCTGGCTCCACAATGTCAAGATCTGTTTCCGTGGCTACTGGGATCCGGCTAGAAATGTTGGCCGCGAAGCTTGCGCCTTTCCCAACGAATGGACTTCCTACCGTTACGACCTCACAGCCCTTGGTACCGCCTCGGAGTTGAGCTGGGGCCTCAAACTGGATTGACTCATCGGATGAGCTGAATGAGATGATCCGATTTACCCGATTTATCCGATTTGTTTGCATGCATATCGTTACTGGCTGTAACATATATATTATCCCCATTGTTTCCTGATATTTTAAAGGAAATGGATACGTGCAGGTAGGATTACAATGTTTACCCATTCTATTGTTAATTGCATACGTCACGTCATACAGCTCTGGAAAAATCCTGACACGCCGCTACTGCGACGTGAGGAAATAAGTATGCCCTTTCACATGCCCTTCTTCCGCGACCGCCACTCAGTTTTGTCATCTTGCTTTTATTTAAATGTTTATCGGAATAATAGCTTTTTTTCTTCTGGAACAGTAAGAAAAGAATTATTTCATTTGAGTCGTCTCCTCAGGCAACAAAGGGCGAAAGCCTCAGTTCTTTTCCTTTCTTTCTTCCTTTCCATTTTTCTTTCTCTCTTGCTTTCCGAACAGCAGAATGTTGTCCCGCCCCGTGATTCTCTCAACGAATATGCGAAAGAATCTCGATCAGGATACTTAGTAGTCTCTTCCTTATTTTTGGAATGGCCATTGCTGCGGAGCAAAGATAATACCAAGCCAAAAAGCAGGTGCTGGGAGGGGGGGGGGGTTCACTCACGAATGGACTGGACTATGGACTGGGGCTGAGGTTCTTAACCTAAGATGTGATAAAGGATCTAATGTTATATTGGTTACATTCGGTAAAGCAAAAAATGAGAGTCCACTTTAGAGCAGAGTTATCAATTTCAGATCTAATTTCCGGAAAAAATTCTCATGGGCAAAGTTCCTGAGATGGTCCAGAGGTTGAAGAATAATCTAGATGATAATTCATGTAACAGGATTTGATATTGTAGCATTTATAGGACTGAATGTGGAGACGGACAGATAGAACGACGGGAAGGGTCGATTTCGACTCCAAGCACAGTGGTGCTAGGTCTACAGTATTTCGATGTACACAGTCGTTTCTTTCTTTGCAGATGGCTGCAATATTAACCTTTTCCACTCGAATTTTTGCCAGAGTCAATGTACCAATGGGCGAGTATACTCGCCCATTCGAGTGGAAAAGGTTAACAAAAAATGAGCGGGCCGAGTTAAGATATGTTTAAAAAAATCATGCGTACTGCGAATCGAAGTGCTTTCAAGTTAATAGCAAACGATTCGGGCATTTACTGTAATTTACCCTATGGTGCACGACTTTTACGCCACTCTGTACTTCTTCCGTCGTTGACTTACCATGCTCGCGTTGAATTTGTTCACCTTAGGCTTCGTCAGGTTCTGTTCCTTCTTGATGGCATCGATGAATATCCAGACAGCTGACTGAGCTGAAGCGTCTGCACGCTTTTCTTTTAGGGACATGGATGCGGGAATACCTTCAGCCGCGAATGTCGACCGCGGGGTTAAGGATTAACGAGGATTAGAAAGAGGAACTAGAAAGTGTCACTTACGAGGTAAAGTGAAATGAATACAATACATTATATATTATCAGTTTGAAAATTTTCCAGACAGCGGCATCTTACTATCCTCCCCATACTCCACAGGGGACATGAGGGGATTCTCAATCAATACTTGACATGCAGCTTGCCTAAAACGATGTTTAGGATTTTCTCACGTGATCCTCTGTAGGGAGCTCCACCATTCAGCCTTCCTCAGGATCAACACGCACCTATCTCCGAGATGATTGCAGGTGACCGGGCATTCTCATATTAAACTTCGAATGTCACACTTCCATCATCCCATTGCCACCGGAATGTGTCCAAACCATGGGCGGATTAGCAACATAATTCCAGATATCTGATCTGATATCAAATGACCTGTTTCCCATGTTTTCATCTGCATCCCTGGGAACAATCCTACTTACTTGGTCTACATAAACGATTTGGATCTCGGCGTAGAGGGTAAGATAAGTAAATTTGCCAACGNGAACGAAATTCGCATATCCCAAAAGCGAGATTCAGTGATCTCAGCAACTCCGGAGAAATGGATCTTCAATTTTGCTGGAGCGGTTTTGTGTTGAGAAAGGAAGAAGCATGTCAAATTTCGTTCCTGTTGATCAGTGGCGTGCCCAAAAAATCTGAATGGGGGGGGGGGGGGTCGCCATATGAAACAAAAGACAAAAATACAAAAATATATAGCAAAAATAAGGTTGGGCCTATCCTAAAATTAAGGAACGCTCGACCTTGACACGTGATATCGAAATGGGTGAAATCACCTCTAGATATCACTATCTTGAATCTTGAAATCTTAAATCTTGAATCTTTCATTGATCCAACGTTGAAACATTCTGAAATTTACATATTGGGAATTTCCTTTGTGTTCATGTTTTATTACGTTGATGATTATTATATATTTGATAATTTAAATCTACATAATTATTATATTTAATAACCATCTATCTATTTAATGTATTCAGTGGTTATATACTACAGGGTGGGCTTAAAAAATTCGGTTATATTTATCACTCCACAGCACTGGCCCCCAAAAGTTTGCTAAAATTTCAATAGCTTTCCAATTATGTCAACAGGATAGATTCGTGGCGTGACTTTCATGCGGTTAAAAGAGGTGGCGCTGGAAAAGTTGGTGCCATGCCACAATGGCAGCTAGTGCATGCAAGAGGTCGTCTACTCGCCATAAGCAAAGGAAGTCACCTGGAGCACATTGTCCAAGGTACTGTAAAGTGCACTTTTCAAGCGCTGCCTCTGTCACACTGCGTTAATTCATCGGAAAAATAAATTAATTCGTATATTCGTAAATTCATTGGATTGGATCTTAAATCTATTTTTACATCAGTGGAAAGCTTGATAAATGTTCTACATAGTGACGCTATTGCAATACTTTCAAACCCTCGAGAAACTACGCTGTGAAGCGTGAAACAACTGAAATATATTTTTGGCCCACCCGGTACTTTGAAAATTTTGCATTTGTTTTGCCAAATTAAAAAAGAAGCTACAAGAGATACTTGGAAATATTACGCAAGTGAACATTAGTATGTACTTCGCAGGTATGGGCTTTTTCATTGTACGCGTTTTTCGTATATTCGATCAAGAATATGGAATTCGAGATTCTGTCTTTTGAGATTCTGTCCGCATATCGCATATGATTACAATTAGAACAATATCCCTTCACTGGTTCTATAAATACAGGAAGTACTTAAGAGCGTGACAGCCCTTATGCAGTGCGGCCAGAACTATAAGGGTGCGTGCCTCAATATTTAGTCGTGTGAATCATGCACGATGGCTGATGACATGCGTACAACTATGAATGCATTATTCTAACCTACATCACTAAGGAATCGCGGAATTCCGGACTAACATTCAATAAAGCATTTCTGGCTTTGTCGTAGCGAAGCAACGAATGCTTTGTAATGTTTTCCGTGCCTCCTTTTCGGAGAAAGTACGTGGATTGAAACTATTGAATAGATTGATAACTTGAAACAAATCGCCGAAAAAGCATATGCAAGCAAAAAAGCACATGGCAAGCACATAACTTCCACGGAGCACATGAATTACATGGTTGATCTCGCCACGCTTGAGCCTGTGAATGTTGGATAGTACCTAGAAGCCCTTTATCGAGAATCATAACCAAGAAGTGGAGATTAGTGCTGTGCTTGCAAAATGCAGCGTGGCGGTGGGGGGCGGGGGGGGGGGGGCACGTGCCCGCCCTCCTCCTTCCCCACCGCACATACACACTTCTCAAATAACAAAACGTCAAAATAAAGAAGGAAAAGACCCATGTATGATACTATCCCAGAGTTCCCCCGCCCCCCCCCCCTTCTTTTTTCATCCACGGTCCGCTTATGCTCTGGGAAAAAATTAATTGCATCAAATTTAGTAGTGCATTTGAGATGGCCCTTCGGGATCACGATGAAACAAGATTCGAGCAACCCCGGAAATTTTCTATGACTAATCGACTTCACAAGTGAGGTGGATCCAATAATTAAAAAACACCCTTGAAACAACCACTCTTTTCAAAGGTAGGGCAAATCTGTGAATTCCGCAACGACTTTGGATCCCAACTATTTGTTCCCATATTTCACTCGAGCTGACGGCGTCAGTGCGCAAAGGTTAATGTTGTATTCGATAAAACGTCAGGAAAAGACGAATCGAATGACTCGAAGCACGGAAGGATATCTCTCATTAGAATGTCCAGGGGAGGATTTTGTCGAGTTCATCCTTCCTGACCATTCGGCTAATTCCGCACCCCTTCTGCTAAAGCCATTCTACATAGTGACGCTATTGCAATACTTTCAAACCCTCGAGAAACTACGCTGTGAAGCGTGAAACAACTGAAATATATTTTTGGCCCACCCGGTACTTTGAAAATTTTGCATTTGTTTTGCCAACACCTCAACGGAACAAAGCGGAAAGGTCATCTCCGGAATTACCCATGAATTTCCTGTACTGTACAGCTTCTGGATGCTGCAACTGTATGCTGGACGAAAGGTTCAATCCAGCATGTTCCGTAGCTGGACCTGCAATCCTGCAACACAGCATAGAAAATGCTGTACAGCAGCAGGATGCAGCAAGCCGGATACCAGTTGAGGGCTCGGAATTTTCGCCGCTTGGGACAGCCCAATTCATCAAAATTCATCAAAATGGCTATCCAGCCCTTTCACCCTAAATCAAACGTCTCCTCGCTGCTACTTATGGCAGGGTCGCACTACTTGATGTTGGGTGCAGTACACGCAGCAATCCGTTAAGGGACAGGAAACTGCAAGTTTTCCACTGCAGGTATCAGTGCAGCGCAGCGAAGATGGAAATTGCGGACGAGGAAATTGTGGAGCTTTATCAATTGTGGACTCCGTACAAAGAGTACAAGGAAGCGGGAAAAAGTTGTGGTAAGGTCTTTTGTGTGCGGCCTCTGTGTGTGCGGAACAGAAAGCGTGCTGCAATAGAATTCTATCTTCTAGAGCAGGAAATCCGTCTCCAGGACCATGAGGTTCATTTTAGAACCTTTCGTATGAGTGCCAGACGGTTTGACTTGCCATTGGTTGGGCATTTCAAGCATCACCAAGTTTACCAGCGGAAAATTGGCGACCAATTTTCTTGGGGGTCTCATGGATTTCAGGGGAATTCAGAATATCCTCCAGAGGATTTACCCAGGTCAGATCAGAGGATCCAGGTCAGAGTCATTATGGCGGGGACAGACGGATGGACTCATTCATTAATTAATTGAAAGAGCGACGAAGCTCGTGAGACAGGGGGGACTGCAGACATAAAGACGCTGTGAGAAACAAAAATGGCGTGGGACGGAATAGGGGCGCTTCTGGACTTGGAAGCAGTTTCTTTCTCCAAAAGACAATGGCGCCTCATTCACGACAGCCACATGCGAACCAGAAAAGCAGCCCAAAAAAAAGTGGAGACGGGGACAGAAAGGCGACCAAATATCGATTCAGTGAGGCACTATCATTCTTGGATGGCACTAAAAGGTCGGAGACGGTGAGTCAAAATGAGTCAAATCTTGTTGCTATTGCCAGGTTTTTATATTATAATATTCTTGAAATGTTCGAGTTCTCATAGGCCTATAAGGGTGAATCGTGTTTCGTTGAGGGCGTGTAACGTTAGGCCAATCCTGTTCATACTATCACGAATCTTTTCAGTTGGACGTGGAAAGCCTGGAGTTCCTCGAACTATCTCGAATAGGTCTTAGGAGAGAATGCCTTCAAGAAGCATGCAGTGGCACTCATGGCACTCGCCATTCTATTAACTCAGGGATGTCCGGATAAGACATATCCCACCTCATCTATCAATAACTGCTAACCACAGTTTCATTCTCAGCTCAACTCATGAATTCGCATACATTAAGAAACAAAACCCAGACACCTATACGGAGGCTGAAGTAGTCTTGAATCTGGCATCATTTCGGCACGGTATCCGGCAACACTGGGAGACAAAACCTGAGCAAGCACTCTAAGCCTAATTGAATGACAACTAATTTCCTTTTTTTGACGAAATGGAGCATCGCAAACAAAAAAGCCTCTATTCGACGAGTCTCTTATAATTGGTCTCTTTCCTCCGAAAACCGGAGTGGCTACCGGGGGGGGGGGGGGGAGAGAAAAAAAGGGAATGAAATTCACATCCTCCAAAAGCGTTCCAAAAGATTCTGTATTCTCCACAACCCCAGGAGCTTTTTCTGCAGGAGCAATTATGTGGTCAGAGAGTTAGAAGTACGTCAAATCGCGTTCCTGTTGATGCTCTCAGGGAGGACAATGGAAAGAAGGTTGAATTTTGGTACGGGAAGGGGCTGCAGAAAAGCACTACCGCACTGATGGTCCGCGCGTCCACGTTGCGTAGAGTTGAGACGACTGTATGACGCGTATGATACGGCCTTTACATCCTCATCCCCACCAAAGACAACGCCAGTGACTGGGTGCTGAGTTCTCCAACCCCTCCAGAGATGGCGAGAGCGACAGGATCCTCAGTTCGTCGTCCCAACCAGGAAAGGCACCAGCGACAGGGTCCGCTGCTCGTCATCCCCTCCAGAGATGGCGTTTGCATTGGTGGCACTCAAGAAATTGAGTTCTCGTCGCCTCCAATCTTCCTGGCAACACCTCTCTACACCAAAGTGTAATTTTAAACATCGGAAATTCACCACAATTCCTCACACCCAAAACAATGAACAAGGCCAAGCACTTACCCTTCGGTCGTGATCAAGTCGACGGAGACTGGTGCCGAATGAGACCACGTCGGGACTACTCAGGATTTCTGCTTGGAACAGCTTTTATACCCTCCCTTTCCTCCTTGATGCAGTGGTCGACCTTGGCACTCCCCCTTCCCATGCAGATATCCATCTCCCCTACTTCCGGCGGCTTCCTTTCCACTTTCCCCCCTGCACTGATACGAGACCGCTGACGAACGAATTCCTTCCCTCTCTTCTCTCAACAGTCTCTTCAAAGCATGCTATGCTCATTTCCTTTGGGCGACAGGGAATTTTCCCCACTCAGTGAAATGATCCATAATTAACTCCTAGTATTGAATGACTCCTGCCTGTTCGCCATGGAACAGGGGTTAGCCAGATCGGACAAGGATTAATCCGTCGAACTCAGCAATATCATCCAATATCATCCAACTCTGCATGGTTCTGTTCATCACCTCCAATTCATATTTCCTTCCTCGTTTAAGTTCCGGGTCTTCTTCCTTTCGTCATGATCATTTGAATTACCTCGCCTATGCTGCATTTAAATCCTCAATTGAAATGAACATACAATTCTAAATTATTTTGAAATGTAGGCTGATGAAATGACGGATTTTCGACTTTTCTGATATGGTCTAGGAAAAATAATTTGAGGCATGTCGCTGTACGATTGATCCCTCGTTCTTTTATTCATTTCCCTATGTCATCTGAACGCTTTGTTCACGGCATATCAAATGGGTCCGGACATTAAGACATGTTTTACAGAGCAACCTACTTCGGAGAATGATGGGTCAGTTGGGTTAGAAAAGGTAGCCTTTCTCACTCTTTCGGCCCAACATAGTAGGAATGCGGCATGTGTTTTAAGTTAGTTTTTATGCGGTGCGCATGGGTTCAGTGAAAACCCACAAAAGCATCTAGAGAAGGTAGAGCGCACGCTATACCGGCACCGATATTGCTCATAGGAAACCTAGAGACTTTTCCTCTAGGTTTTTGAAACACGAAAAACTTATAGGATCCCTAAAGGGTTCTATAGGACTCCTGACCTATGATTCGATAAGGTTGTTTGGGTTTCGAATCCCTGGAATTACAACCGGGATTACTACTAAATCCAGGGGCGGTGCGAGTACCCCTGCGTCCTCTGCAGAATCCAGGGGCCCCAACCCCAAGAGGAATAAATAAATAATAAGTAAGATATGAAGAACGAAAGAAAAAGAGAAGAAACCTTGAAACGCTGCGAGTTATTCCGAAATAAATCCAAGCTCTGAACGAGACGGAGAATATTCCTAGGTATTCCTACTCTGGACAGGCGAGAAGGCCGAGCTGGGCGAAATCCGTTACCGCCCCAATTCATGGAAAATATTTTAAATTTTAATTTCATTTTAATTCCTCCCCAGCAATCAACTTGAAACACATAACGTTGAATCAACATTTAATAAACGTTCGGAACGTTGATGCTACGTTGGTCCAACGTAGCCTCGTTTGCTGGGTCCATTCCTCCCACATGAAATCCTCGCGCTTGACACTCGAGGAGGTGAGAAAGACGTCCGCGTAGAAGGGTCTACCTCGTTTTCATCTTTTTCCCTCGCTATCTCCCTCGATCATTTTGTGAAATGTCTTGTATATTCATTACCGAGTCACTGGTAGAGTTGCCACATTTGAATTCAACAAAACGTGGACGTATGGAAACATACACAAATATTCGAAGTACACTTGTGTATGCAGCTACTGTCTACTCTATGCCTGGAGGGAGAATCATCATTTATATAGAGAGTATAACTAGAGGCTTCACTCCGCTCGAATCCCAATCATGGACAGGGTCGCAATATGGATGTCGCTGTCGATCCTCCACCTAGCGCGCGCATATCAACAACTCCTCCATGGCCGAGCAGCGGACTTTACGAGACACGCGTGTTACGTTGAGGGATCCCTTCGAGTCGAATTCCCGATTCCGTTACCGCGATGCACACCTCTAAGAAGCGTTCTTGATAACAAGCCACCAGATGTCTCTGGAATATTTCGACTCCCCCTCCTGCCCCTCGGAGTGTCGCCTCTAGTCATACTCTATGCCTCGGCTTGAGGATATGGCGTAAAGATGCTGCGTACGCCACCTCTTTACTAAAACTTCGCTCGGATAAGATAACCATTTTCTCGTATAGGGTTCTCAAAGGGAACACGAACTTGCTTATGGCCTGGGCTATATGATCTGTCTCTAATATGGGGATAACAAATTAGGAAGTGTCCAAGTTCATTGATTGCTATTAATATAACGAGGCAAGGCAAGACATATGGGAGAAATGCGAGACCCATACCTCCAACTAGTGGCCTAGAGGAGAACTTCAATATTTTCCAAAAACTTTCATTTAAATATAGAATTAATGCTAGATGCAATGCCACCACGACACTACGAAGATTCAAACCTAACTTTCATACAATGCTGATTGAATATTTGTTAGTTACCAGGGTCCTTCCTCCTCCCCCCAACACTGACGGATACAGGGATGGGGAGGAGGGGGGGGGGGGTATTATAGAAGCGCCTTTCAATGAATAATTTCTGTATCTCCTACTGTTTTAACGGATGTGTTGACCATCACGCAAATGAAACCATTCGATGAAAAGTGAAGATTGTCGATTATCGATTATCAACTAGATCGACTATGGAGGAATAATCAAGTCCTCCTCTCATGTAGGTTCATCAGGAACATCAGAAAGTCTTTCTTTGAAGAGAAGGGAGGTTTTGCAGTCAGTTCCTTTCAGTCATGAGTCTGGGTTGAATTATTTTAACGGTAGAACAGTGAATGTTCAGCGCAATATCATGGAAGAAGAGAAGTGCTCAAACTGAAACGCTTTTTGTTTTCATCACGAAACCAAAGAGAGCAAAATATGAAGAAAATTCAGGAATGGAAAACTTCAACGGTGTTGTATTATCGGTTGTCCTAACGGACAAGACTTCACAGGAACCTGTGCATTTTAGTGAAAGTGGCCCTTTACAACCGCAAAAATATAATTTTCCGAGAAAAGAGGGCAGGGCGTTCAATGTGAAGTATTCAGTACTTTGAAGTGTGCCCTTGGATTTCATACTTGCCCGAGAAAGACACAGTTTTATGCTACGTTTCTTGTGTATGCATCAACAGAGAAGTCTTTTCGGAATTGAGGCAGCTCAAGAATTGGATATAGACGACGACGACCCAACAGCACCTGACAAATGTCCCATTGATGCATGCACATCAGTACGTGTTGGACTAATTAGAATTAGATAAACTGATTAAATGTTTTGCAAAGAAAGACGAAGAAAGGGAGAATATTTGCATTCTAGTTTCACTTGAATTTGATCTCCTGCTCGTGTTTGAATTAAATAGTAATTTTCCGAACCCGAATTTCGAACTTGACCTATCTCGTTTGCCTTGCCCCCCCCCACTTTCGAGGACGTTCCTACGCCTACGCGAAAAGCCCTGCAAGAATTCAGGAACAATCCAACATGACCACGCTGTGCTGTGCTGGCGAAGTGCAAAGTGTGCGGGCTAAGGCCGAGTTCATACTCGTGCTGTACAGCATGTACAGCAACGGCAAAATCCAATCCAACATGGGCATGTTGCATTGGACAGTATGAAGTTGCAATATCCAGCATGATGTACAGCACGAGTGTCAACTCGGCCTAAGAAGAGAACCAGCAAACGATGAATATGTGAGCGGAGCTGTGATCACGTGACCTGAGCAGAAGCCTTTGAAGTATCCCTTCCCGTTATGGTTACTGCGGACACAGACGGAATGAAAAAAAGAAAAAACTAGAGTACCAGTCCAGGTACAGATCTGGCATTCCAATGATGTCACATGCCCAAATTATTTTTCTCAGACAATATCAGAAACGTCGAAATCCGTCATTCAACATCATTTCATCAGCCTAAAGCAATTTAGAAACTGTATTTTCATTTCAATTGAGGATTTAAATGCGGCATAGGCGAGGTAAATCAGGACGAAGGGATGAAGCCGCGGAGCCTAAACGAGGAAGGAAAGATGAATTGGAGGTGATGAACAGGACCATGCAGAGTTTACGTTGCATGATATTGCTGAGTTCGATGTCCGATCTGGCTAACCCCTGTTCCATGGCCAACAGGCAGGGGTCATTCAATACTAGGAGTTAATTATGAATCATTTCACTAAGTGTGAAACATTCCCTGTCGCGCAAAGGAAATGAGCATAGCGTACTTTGAATAGACTGTTGAGAGATGAGAGGGAAGGAATTCGTTTGCCAACGACTCGTAATCAGTGCCAGGGAGAAAGTGGAAAGGAAGCCACCGGAAATAGGGGAGATGTATATCTGCATGGGAAGGGGGAGTGCCAAGGTCGACCACTGCATCAAGGAGGAAAAGGTGGGTATAAAAGCTGTTCCAAGCAGGAATCCTGAGTAGTCTCGAGGTGGTCTCACTCATCACCAATTTCCGTCGACTTGAGCACGACCGAATGGTAAGTCCTTTTCCTTGTTCATTGTTTTGGGTGTGAGGAATTGTGGTGAATTTCTAATGTTCTTTTAATGTTCCCCTCTCTGAACCTAATGCCAGAAAGAGGGGAGGTCAACGCCCCAATTTGAGTGCCACCAATGCAAGCACCATCTCTGGAGGGGATGACAAACTGGGGACCCTGTCGCTGGCATCCTGTCTGGAGGGAATGAAGAATGTTGTACCCTGTCGCCATCGCCATCTCTGGAGAGGACGACGAACTAAGGGTCCTGTCGCCGGCGCGACATGGTGGGTATGACCTTTTCGCTGGCGGCATCACCCGGATGAATTTGGTCCATGTGCCGCCGCTATTTCTGGAGGGAAGAGAGGATTCCTCCTAGGACGACGAAAGTACTAATATTTGGCATAACGACCTGCAAAATTTTTCGATTGTTCTCGAATTGATAAAGGGCTTCGACACGGGTTTCGTGATTTACTTAGGTTTTTCCAACGATTTTTGGCATAAATCGTTTCAAATTCTGCAGGGCTCTTCTCTCGGTTTTTCTGTTCGGTAGGAGACTTTCGATTTCGGCAGCGCAACGGAATCTCCTGTTTTTGGTAGTGAACATCCAGAGAAGGATGGGGAAAAAGCCAACGTAAGACAAGACTGCAAGACAACACGGCGTTTGTCTGGCGTTTATCAACAGAAACGGATAGGATATTTTCGGCGAAAAATCATTATTTTACAAATCAAACGAATGCGCGCACGAAATTGAAGCAATTACAGCCATCGATACGCTCTCTCCATTAGCATCAAATCGAGTTTGTGCATGGCGAAACCAAGTTTCTGACGGGTTATGTGCCCAACTGCAGCCTCTCTGTCGAGCAGCTTCTCCGTCCGACCTTTGCCGCAAGCTTCGTCCTAGTCGTAGTTGTCTAGTTCTCTCTCAGTTTTATAGGCTCACGCCTCGAATGTACCTGTAACAGAGTGTACCTGTTACTGTCAAAAGTTGAATATGCTGGCAGTCTTCACGCGAACGTTAGGAAAATCATTAAGGAGTTAGTCATTAGTTAGAAAGTCATTAAGGAACCAGTTCATGGCATCATGCATGATGCCATGAACTGGTTCGTCTGGAGGTATGGTCGTATGTATCTCAGAAGCCCCTAAAAAAATCCCTAATGCGTCGACAGAAGCAGGCACTACTGCAATCGAAACGGCTGATGCCGAAATAGAAAGTCTCTTGCCGAAACTGAATGGGAAAACCGTGAGGAGAGGACTGCGAATTTGGAACGACTTATGGCGAAATTCGTTGGGAAACCAATAGGGAAAAACAACAACGAAATACGTTGGGAAAAACGTATGCTGAAATATATTTCAGCCTACGAAATTAAAAACATACAAAGCGTATCGACAGTTCTCAGGTGTCCATCCAGCCAAAAAAAACCTCAATCCTGTTCACTGACTGTCCGTGTCGTTATCGTCCCGACCCATAAAATGCGATCTCGATGGGAGGAGAAATCGAGGTCCTCTGATGGAACGTTATACAACGCATCCTATCGGATCCACGGACGACGGGGAGCAACGTGTCCTCGGACACGTCGTTCCCCTTCGAACACGAAATCCTGCCCCGGTCGGGGGGCGTGAACGCGGAATTCCACTCTCGCGGGTCAAGCTGGAAGTCTCGAAGGTTAGGGGGCGGCAACCCACCTATAAAGGGGGCGGTGACGACCCCGATCCGATCACACCCGGCCGAGTGACCGTTAGGTGAGTCCAACTTCCGCTTCGGAAAGAAGGCGTGAAAGGCGTCTGAGCTTTCATCCATTCCGAGGAATGGATGGAAACTGAGATCTCATCCATTCCATCCGTCCTTTTCCGCGTAACTCCATCGGGAAGAATGGAGCAGGTGCTCATGCTCTACTTTTTCTCAGGATCCGAATGGAATGGAAACGGCTTCTATAATTTCTTTCGTAATCTCCCCGTGAATGTGGATCCTTTTACATCCGTTGTTGTCGATGAAGAATGTGAGATGCACAAGGAAGAGCTTTTGGCGGCTTCCTTTTTTGGCATACGGGCCCATGCAGGTTGGATTCTTCCGCATTCCCGCTCCCCCTCCACCTCCCCGTCCTATCCCTCCTCCTTTTCCCTCCCCTCCCCCTCTCATATCTCTTCGGGTCGGTTCTCTGTTCGTGACGATACCTTTACTTATCCCGAATGTGTTCTGGACTGACGACATCGCAGGATGCCTCGACCGAACAGACCTCACCCCAATCACCGACGTTCAAATTGGAGATTCTAGAAGGCATTACATGTTCTGATACCGAATCCACGGGTCGCAAGGAAGCGAAAGAAAGACGCAGGAACCGCGAAATAGCGAAACGGCGAGGAAAGAGCGCGAAGTTGCTCCAAGCACTGCTCCAGTTGATCTTCGCCTGTGGCTGCGAGGCGTGGACCTTCGAGGCGGCAGACGCGAGAAGACACGGTGGATCATCCAACGAATCCTTCAAACGTCGTGGAAGAATGGAAGGGCAGGCGAGTGGAGCTCGAGGAGGTCTGCACCGAGAGGAGTCATCCGACGCCAGAGTGCTTCGCGCCGAGGGAGGGGATGTCGTCTTTTGCAGGGATCTTTCGTATCGAGAAAGGCAGAGAAAGGCAGAGAAGGACCGACACGGGAAGTCGACGTCGGAGACCGGATGGGCCCGTCCGTCCCCGGTGGAGGCCAGAAGGAAAGCTGCCGACCTCGGCCGGCGCGGGTTCCTTCGTCCTGCCGTCGACCCGAACGGCGAGGGGCGGCAGAACGCAATAAGAGGTTCGCCCGTGTTCCGACAAAGGTTAGGCAGTTTACCGTGAGGCTCGATTTCGGGCAGATCATCCAACGGTTCTAGCAATGTACCGTTAACTCGAAGCGAATAATCGGTAATAACTCCTCGACGACATACATCGCTCCTAGGCTCGACCCGCTTTTAAATTCAAACGGACGCTTTTCAAACTTTGTTCGAGCTGGGGGTGAGCTAAATTTCGTCGCGTTTTTTTAATCCGTGGGCGTCGTGTCGGCACCGTGCTCCGTCCGTAACCTGTCGACCGTTTTTGAACCTTTTGCCAGATGCTAGCTGGCCTGTTCTGCAATTTCGGTTCGACAAAGGTCTCGGTGCGGCCACGACACCACGGCGAACGAAATGGAGAATTTTGGTTTCACCTTGGGGATACCGACTCACGACTTCCCTGCGTCCGATCGGGATTTCAACCATCGCGTTATTTACCCCCTGCCGTCACTTCCCAGCCGATCGTAAATATGCATCTCACGATAGACTCATTCGCTTGCAGAAATGCAGAGGATAGGCGATTTAGGTGAACTTTCGCGCTGTTACTGACACTTGTGCTTCCGGCCACCGAGTTCAACGTTACGCTTTCTAGCGAGATCGAGGAACATTCGAGGCTCTAATCGAAATACGTGACATCGGCAACACCTAAAAGTAGAATGAACGCAATGCAGCACCTCCAAGTGATCCAAATAAGTTTTCGGATATTTCTCGCGTTCTCGTCTGAATTCGAATCGAGTGACGAAGTGGAATGACGATTCCACCGCGAGTGAAAATTTAGTCACCTCCAGCTAGCGTGAACCGGAATCGCAGCTGGAGGTTTTCTCGTGCCATCCGGCGGGATGCTTCCAGCCTGTTCCTCTTTCTAGATCTCCCACGCTAAGACGGTTTCGTTCCCGGCTAAAAGAGCAGAGAATCCGATCGACCGGAGATGTTCCGTGAGCTTCTCGGGGCACTGCTGCTGATGGCGGCGGCCTCGCACGCCCAGACTCCGCAGCGCTGCACGTATACGCTGCCGTTTCTGAGCAAGATGTCCCGGGGAGTGGACGTGACGCAGCTGGACCTGACTCCTATGGACACCACCGGACGGGACGGGTTCAGGCAACCCATCTTCAACTTCACCTGCGACAAGGGCTACCGTGTCAACTATGCCATGGGGGTAAGCGGTTTTTCACGTCACTATAATCAATTTCTAAACAAGTGTGAAGAATCGAGTCCAGCCGTATTTGGAAATTATTTGGGGGTGGGGGGTTTGACCGGGAGCGAGGGACGATGAGCTCACAGACTTTTCCTACGTCGTGTCCGTCAGTGGGGGGGGGGGTTAGAGTCCCCGGACCAAGTGTGGGGGTTGACGCCGAGCACGGGAGAGTGGCTGCCGTCCAGGGTCCGGCTCTACACGTCGTACCAGGACGCGAAGGCGTGGATGGCGCTCGCGGTCGGCGGGGATCCGACGCTGGCGACGTACGGCTTCTCCGCCGGGGACTCCTATGGACGCATGCAGGACTCGCTCCTCAACGGGTCCCGATTCGTCCAGGAGGTGACGTCGTTCTACTCGGCCGTGTCGGTGGACCTCATCCCGCAGTCTTCGACGGTGCCGGGGTTGCTGCTCGACAACTTCGTCAAGGCGGCCATCGCCGCCCTGCCGGACAGCTACTCCAACAACCCGGGGCCCTACGAAGATTTCATCGCCAACTTCGGCACGCACTACTTTAAGCACGCCGACTTCGGTGGTCTCGTGAAGCTCGTCCTGGAGACTCGCTCCGAGTACTTCCTGAACAAAACGGAGCAGGAGGCGAAGAGACAAGCGGAGGCAGCCTTCACCAAGTTGCTTCAGGACAACGGCAGCCAGCTCGCGCAGCCCATACAGTCCGCCCAGCCGGTCGACAGGAGATTCGAGGAGATGACGACGAAAACTGCTGGGTGAGTCGTTCGCGAAAATCATCGAACTCTTCTCTCGAAGACCGTGTGGATGGGACGTAGTTCCTCTCGCAAAATGCCGAAACGAAAAGCAGGAGATAACGAACCGGCGCTCCGGTTTCAGGTACTTCGGTGTGAACTCGAGCGTGCAGCCGTCGGGCGATGTCCAGTATTGGTTGGCCGTTCCCTGGCTCATCTCGGGCGAGCTCGCAAGCATCAGCGGGCTCATCACGGACGCAAACAAGCGATCGTCCATGCAGGACGCGGTGTGGAATCATCTCCTGCAGGCGTACGTGGACGAGTTGATGAGGATCGTCATGGCGGTCCCCGCGCGGTGGTCCTTCGGCTTGAGCAAGCTCAAGTCGTTGGTGGACAGGACCGCCACTCTTCAGAACACTCGCATCCTGACGAAGGCGACGGTGGATGCGCTCGCGACAGACGTGGCGACTCAGGTGGACGTCCCTGCATGGTTCCAGAGATGGACGCAGCTCTGCTTTCGATGGGACGCGGCGGGAGATCCGTCTCAGTGCGGAGGGGGGGTGGGGCAGCAGCTCTGTGCCAAGCCCGGCAGGATGACCGATTTCTACAAAGACGACACCTACAAGGACGAGAAGGGTTGCAAGATGAGCTGGTCGATCCAATCCCTGTTCGAGCCGAGCTGGTTCGACGACGTGCAGCTCTGTTTCCGCTGGTCGTCCGACGGAGACGCGAGGCAATGCGGGGGAGACGTGGATCCCACGCTTTGCGCGACGGTCAACTCATGGACCGTGGTATACAGGGACATGACGGATAAGAGGGCCGGAGGTTGCCGCATGTCGTGGATGCTGTCCGTGCCGAATTACTCCCCCGTCTGGATCCTGAACGCCAAGATGTGCATGTCGTGGTACTCGGACGGGGACGCGACTCAGTGCGGAGGACTCTCGCCCGGTAACTACACGTGCGCCATCGCCAACGAATGGACTCCCTACTACCTCGACAACACCGACGACAGGAAGGGAGGATGCTTTTTGAGCTGGGGTCTCCGAGTGGACTGAGGAGAAATCGAGCGAATCGGGGCTCTGCGTTCGAATTTCGACAGCGGGATCCGAGAGTACGCTGGATTCGGTCGAGACGCTCCGAAACTGAGCATATTCGAGAGATTCGATTTGTGGATGCCCCGTCGCCATTTCCAATCGGAAAAGGAGCACATCTTGTCTTGTTTCATCTATTTCTATGAGAAACCCACAAGTTCGGACGTTATATTATGATATATACACCATAAAATATATACTTCTGGCATCCGAAGACTTGGTACTGTTATTACTGCGTGATACTTCGTGCCTACAAGTGTAACAGCAGAACGTGAAACGTGCCTCTCTTCCAACTCCCGTCGATAGAAACGTGAAACCCTATATTTAAAAAAAGGGCGTTTCCTACTGCAATATATATTTTTTTGGAAACTGATAGCAGTCTCGAATGGTACAGTTAACTCTCAATAACTCGAACCTCTTTAACTCGAATTTCTCGATAACACGCAGTCACGGCGTTTCCCTTCTAAATCTTCATGAGGAAAATGCGTTTTCCCCCAATTTTAACTCCGACTTCCGTAAAACAAATTTTTTTTTCCAGTTTTATTGAGCAATCTATGTTTTAACATGTAAAACACACATAAACAAAGACAAATGGTACAAAGGACAACCTTTTGGAGTTTAACATTTCAGAATTTGACAATTCAAAAGATCCGGGAACTAGAAGGCAAGCTTCTGATGCAGGAAATCTACTCCAGGAGGAGAAATCTTATCATCGCTGGACTTCCGTCAAAAACAAGAGAGGAAAATCCTGAAGTGGTCGTAAAGATCTTCTTCAGAGAAGCACTAGAAATCCCGGAAGATGTGCTGAAGGATATGAAGTTCTCTGCAGTGCACCGCCTACATCAGAGTAACCCGGCTCCAAGGCCAAGTCCACAATCTGACAACTCCCCGCGGATGTTGGTCTCCTTTGTGGAGATGCGACATAGAGATCTGATAATGATGAATCTTCCCAGATTGAAAGGAAAGGCAACAAAAATCAGTATCATGGAGGATGTCCCACCAGCTCTAAGAAACCAACGACAGGAATTGGAGAAAATGGCTTATGAGATACGACAAAAGGAGAAAACAGGGGCTCGAGTACGTCTCATTAAAAACGGTCTAGCTCTCCAACATTTCGATCCCCGGAAGAAGGTATGGACTACACGGAAAATGAACACGTCTGGTGGGATTGAAAAGTTCCCCTCATGAGCCTCCTTCTCTCTCCGCCCCTATCTTCCTTCGGCCTCTTGGGGCATGAAAAACCGGACGCCGCTCCTTCCTCGTTTTTGCCCATGATCCGAAATGTCCCTGGAACGACTGAGTTTTGCCTTCGGGCCCTCCTTTTCTTTTGTGTGTGTCTTTGTAGAAACATTCCAACTTTAATTGTACGGCACTCGCGGCTGAATTTGTATTTCAACCCATACACTCAATTATCTACTTTTCTACTCAACAGTGTAGAAGCTGAACCTATCTTTAGTAATAAGCAGATTTCGAAAGTGCTCGATAGAGATAGGATGTTTGTCAGGATATTTACGGAAGAGCAGAACAAAAAACAAAAAACAAATAGACTCAATTGAAATTTTGTCTTTGAATTGCAGAGGGTTACAAGAGGTTAAGAAACGAAGAGATCTGTTTCATTTTCTAAAAACCCAAAAAACAGCTAAAATATTTTGCCTACAGGATACTCATTTTACTCCAAGAATGGAAAGGTATGTACAAGCTGAGTGGGGAGGAGATTCCTACTTCTCGTCATACTGCAGTAATAGTAGTTGCTGTAATGATTAGAGGGAATCCTGGCTTTAATTATGAAGTGAAGAATGTCCATGCCCTAGAAAGAGGAAATGGATTCGTTCTCCAGATATCAATCAATGATCGCTTTCAATGTGTCTTAGCAAATATATACGGGCCAAATGAGGATAATCCAAGCTTCTATGAAGGTCTCATGAAAATTGTAAAGGAATACCAAGTTGAAAACAAAATCTTCTGCGGAGATTGGAATTTAGCTCTAAATCCAAATGAAGATGCGGAAAACTATCGAGCCGTAAATAACCCAAAAGC